CAGGGGATATATCATGGGAATCTACTGTAGTATAACAGAACGAGATACATGAGCATTTGAACACGGAGAAGGATTTTAATAAACCAGTGGATTTTCGGGTTTTCTGCTAAGTGTTCAGACAAATTCGTTGATTGGTATATTTATGGGTTTGTTGAGTTGTAGATGTTTTACATAAATGTTGAATTTTCTTGGATGTGCTTCGGATTTGTGCTGAATTTTGAGTGGAAAGGAAAGGCACACGACTTCTTGGGGCACGGATTTACATCATTTTTTTGAAGGAACACTATCCGTTGGAATTTGTTTGTTCTTGTTGGTTTTTCACAATGGCAGGTGTCTCAAGTGTTTTCTTTGCTTTGAAATGCGCTTTAAGTCAGCCTTTGCTTGATTGCATTTTTGTTTCCCTGCATGCTGCTTGACTTGACAAAGCGGTACGCATGATTTGTTTACCCATTCAGACTGTTTTTGCATGCTGCCTGAGATGAAGCAGCATTGCTTTTAAACCCATGATCAAGTCAAGAATCAAGATCTGCCCGTGGTGATCAGGTCGTTTGGGCATTGAGCTGGTGCGATTGCAGTCCAGAGAGGTCTGGTGGATGGTTTCCCATCACCGTCCATCAAATGTGGTGAGCAAACATGGGGATATTAGGGATATTGTGGGATATTCACCTACCATTTTGGGGCCCATTCCAGCAAAAATGGTGAACAATGGGGTCATGCTAGGTGGTTGGGGCAACGACCAATCCAATTGATGGAATGACCCTATCAACCAGTAGATAGGTTTGGAATGGTTTGGAGATGTTTGGAGATAAGACCAAATTTCTACTAGCTGCTGTTTTTGTTTGGTCATTCCGGTCCATTCCCAATTTGACAAGTCGGGGCCGGTTTTTCTGCCAAAGGTGATGAAATGATGAAATGTAAGTCAACCAGTCGATAGTCCATATACCTTGGCTTTAAAAAAGATAGCCCCTTCGGAAGTTAAAGGTGCCTTGATTTTCCTTGATCCAATTACTTCTGCAAATGAATCACAATACAAACGGTGCTGTAAAGTGCCAGTTTTCCTGCGCTGCATATCACCTGTCAATGGGTGAAACTACGGTCAGCTACGATCCCTGTCCGGTCCGCAATCCCTGGAGGATTCTTCTACCTGGTATAAGTACCCAAGTACCCATGAAAACGGATATATTACTCATATGTTTTCGTACTTTTGCCCATAGATACTTGGAGGGTCTAGGTATATATAATTATATATAATAATTGTGTGTGTGCATTATCATATACGTGTATGTTCATATCTGTTGTGAAGCAATACCATGTACCAAGCGCCAGGCAATCCTTCTGGAGGAGTGCGTCAGACATCCCAGCGGTAGCGTCCGGCCAGGGGGGCGGCATTCCGGCCAGGCCCCCTCCCAGAGTCATGGAGGATATCATAGGGGTTTCCATAAGTGGTGGCACCCCCAAATGGATGGTTTGTAATGGAACATACCATTGAACATTGATGATTTGGGGGGTATCCACATTTATGGAACCCCCCCATATATAGATTTATGGTGAAAAGAAAGCAGCCAACAGTTTTGCCCTGAGATTGCCATGAAATTCTTACTGAACAACAATGCAGCTTTAAAGTTTGAACAGCAAAGAATCGACATTTAACCTCACCAAACAATGGGCATTATCGGCGGGTATATTGAGTGTACACAGTGTACACGTGTTCTGTACAGTACATCGAACCAGGATTCAGAATTGGTGGTTGAAGAACTTGTTTCCAATTGGCCCGATCCACAAGAGGGTTCTGCATGATTTCAGGGGATGTTTGCATTTTCGGAGTATTGTCGTTTCACTCGTCATTAGTCACTCTACAGAAAACACTGGCATGAGTTGGAGCCTGATTGGATGATTATTTGGAAGTCATGTGGAAGTCAAGTGGAAGTCAAAGGTCCGATTTTTTCCACTCCACTTGCATTGAAAATTGGGGCACCAAGGCTCCGCCGCAGTTTCACCAAGGATTTCGTCATGACATCACTGATGGAGGTCGATGGTTTTCTCGGTTGTCACCATGTTTTTTTTCCCATGAATCCCGACGGCACAACCTAGGACCTGATGTCCCTTTTTCGTATCCCCATAGTAATTCCCATATCGGTATCGAACTTGTATTCATTCCCACCACCATGATATCCCTAAGCCAAAAAATCCCCATGCCTATTACCCTTTGGCAATCAAACGTGACAACAAAAACATTCCTTGCTTTACATGGAGGTTTCTAGCTGCGAACCAGGCAATCAAACGTGGATTTTCCAGCCAGCCATGTTTGATGACGGAGGGCAATTCTCGCTATGTCCCTATCATATGTATATATATAATATATATACATATACAGTATATGTATATATATTTATACATATTTATATATACATAATTATACATATATATATATATGTATACATACACACACATATATATATATACTATGTATATATATATATATCATATATCCATGTTGATCCTATGTTGCATCCCCCAAAAGTCCCAACTTGAGATGGGCTATGCCGGCTATGCCTAGCTCAGGCTGCCAGAAGATCGTCTGAGGCTGAGCGAGCCAAACAGAGTCAGGACAAGTCACGTCGTTTTTCCGTCGAATGATGGGGATAGGGGGATCATCCAATGAATTTTTCCGTATTTCAGCTATTTTCAGGCCAATGAATTCGAAATCAGCCGGAAAATAATGGATTCTATGATTCTATGATTCTGGCTGGTATGAAAACTTCACTGTTTGGGGATTATGGTGTTTTTTGTGTACAACTCGGGTTTCTCATCAAACGAGGATGAAACGAACCAGAATCAGGATGTAATGAGCATGTAATGGGACAATGAAATGGTGTATGAGTACTCCGCAGTGGTGATGTGATGGAAACAATGGAATTGTTGATGGTGATTTGATTGGCTAAAATAATCTGAACAAATACAAACGGAAATATGTCAACAAAATTAGGGAATATCGACAGCAACATGGGAATCAAACCAGCTATACATCCCCAACTGACATGGCAATTCTCAGGGTCTATGTTCGGGGTGGCAATGGAAATCCTAGTGGTTTTGGCTTGGTCCGCGGAATGACATTGCTGAGGATTGGCCAAACATGAGACTTACAGACTGGTGTAATGATTACAAATCTCGATGCTGCTGATTCGAGACTTCCATCAGAAGGGACGTTTTTTTCAATGGCGAGTAGAGGTTCCATGCGATATTGCAATTGATGCTGGTATTCTTCTCAGGCACTGTGGTCATTTGAGAATCTCCTTTTGAATGTCAAAGGTTGCTTGTGCTAATTGAGGTTCTGGAAGTACTGGTGGTGAGGTTCTGGAAGTTCTAATAAACTGGTGGTAATATCCCATTCCATCACTGGTTCTAAGATTTAGTGAGGTATCCCATGGTATCCCGGTTCCCCGTTATGAAGTTGACATGTCCCCATCATCCTGCCCTCAGAGCCCTAGGACCTCCGATTCCTTCGCCAGTCTGCGGCAAGCGAGAAGCAACGACACGAAGAAGTGGAGGTCCAATGGTCCAATGTGTCTCCGGTGTCATCAAACATGGCTGGAAAATCCAATGGTTCCATTCAACAATCCACTATAATCCACTTAGTTCTTTGATTACCAGGGGATCAAAAATGATATAAATTATAATTGCGCCCATGTCAAATCACCATGTTGACCAGCAAAATGGGTGATTTAATCAGCTAAAATGCTGATTTACCAGACTGAACCAGCCAAAATTGGTGTTTAAATGGAGATTTCACTATAGTGAACATGGAGATTCACTCCACCATGCGGATCTAAGTGGACCTCCAGAAAACTGTCCTCAGCTGAGGATGTAAATTCTCGGCAGCTTTGTCAGCAGTTATTGTTGTAGCGATTCACACCTGGGGCGTGGGGCCTCTGATTTGATCCCTGTCGAACGAGCAACTCAATTGAAATCCCAAACATGGATCATAGACCTCTACAGTTGAAACTAGTTGGATCATGTTGCACTTGTGATCTCTAAATTGGATTAAATTGGGAGACTATTGTAGGTTGCCAGTAGCAGGTCATTCCCAGCAATTTGATCCCCAGGATTCTCCCTGTGTTCCCGCAATATTTTGGGCGGCCCCGCAGTGGAGGTTCCTGGTTCACCAAAATTCGGTGGAATCCCATTCAAAGCAATAAACAGAACAGTAAGGACATGAATTCCGGACATGTTTTTTTTTTTAATTCCGTCAGCTCCACAAAAACGATGTCAACCGAGTCAACCACAAAAGAAAGAAAAAACATGGGTGCATTTCAACATCTACCATGAGGTAATCAAGCATGGTAAGCTGGAATTTTTCCCCAAGCAAACTAGTTCGATTCCAGGCCTTAGGGCGCGAACGCCTTGAAGAGATGAGGCTGGGTGTGTCTGAAAATAATGGGCTTTTTTGGGGCGATATCTCCAAATAGCAACACGTCATAACAGGTCAAAATATGATGGTTTAATGATGTTTAATGGAGATACCAGTATGTTGAAAGAATGGTATTTCATATGTATTTATAATGGAAATGATATACCCTCCAGTAAATTAACATAGACCATGAAAAGAACAAATTAGATTAGTGGACACATGTGGACCCCATATTTTGACAGTGTCTGTATTAATTTACTGGAAGGTAAATTTTGGAGTAGGCTGTTTTCGGACTCAAATGGATGAAGCTCCATTTGCAAACACCGATCCCAAAAACATAGAGCGAAGAGGTGGCTGCCACAAAGTAATAGTGGCTTTGTTGCATGAAACTTCGCTGTGGCTCGCACACAATTATACTTATATATATAATTATATATAATATTATATAATTATATATATATATATATTAAAACTGTACATATACATACACACATCACATGTAAAACCTGCAACATCCCACAACAAAGGATAGCTAAATAGGTGTGTCTGAAAATGGTATATATATATACACCATATACTGTATACCCATAAAATTGCGAATAGATGGGAAAGACGATTAACCCTGTTTTTTTTTGTGTCAGAGAAGTATAAGCAAACCCACATAGTATTAGTTTTATCCCAATATATCCGATTATGTCTCAATATATCCCCAAACAATGGATGGCTAAAGTGGCTCCAGGTAAGCAATGCTTGTCAGGCGCGAAGTGACGAAGACGCGCTCAGAAGTTGAAGAACTGAGGGAAGAGCAGCCACTCGGTCCGTTTTTCGGAGAACTGTCGACAGAAGGAAGTAAAGATGGATCAACAGATGAGGAGTTTATACTTGATGGATCTTGGTGGCTCATCGGAGCTAGGTGGGTTATAACCCCAGTTAGAAGTAGGACCCTCTGGTGTCATCAAACATGGCGGGCCGCTGGGAAATCTCTGAACTATATAATTGGAGCGTTTAATGCGAACATCATCGAACTCAGCGGGTGATTTTCCACCTAGCCATCTTTGATCACCCAGAGATTTGTACCCAAAGGATACTTTACTCATGTCTATGTGGGTCAGAATTGGTCTGGCCAAGAAAAAATACACATGGGCTGGACATCCTTAGTGCACACCTTGGCATGAGCGGTGGTTGAGTCTTTTCTAGCTGGCTGAAACATGCCGGTATTCGCAGTGCTTTGTGAGCATTGGCGTCTCAAACAGGGGTGGGAATCCCCCCACTACCCCAAACCCATCCCACCGCAGTAGACAACATGCAGAAAATGCTAGCATCCACAAGAAGCACACAGTCATTTACTGGCTGCGTTTGGGTAATAACCTAAGCTTCCAATCTTTAGGTATTCAATAGGTTGACGCACAGTTGATGTTGAAATGTCAGAGTACCTCATGTCTAAACATCACTGGGTTGAAGGAAGAATCCACAGGAACCATCAGGAAAACATAGAATACAAACAAAACACTGGGTTTCCCATGGTTTCCCTTCATGTTTTTTCCTTCATCTCGTAGTGGTATATGGGGTACTATACGTGCCTATTGTTTGACCCTCACCCAACATGCGGAAATCAACTGAATACGAGATGCCAATGGAAACATGGTCCCAGCAGGACTGGCCCCATTGGTCCATTGGCTTTTCGGGGAAGTTCGATTGTATACGAAAAACATGTCCGGTTGCAGACAAGTTTTTGTTTGGTTTTTCAAAAAACTACTGTAGTTCAACACACTTTGACTCACATTGACGCACAAGCGTAGCAGTGATTGGCCACACAGCGGCCAGACAACGTTCACATTTAGGCGTTCGGGTGAACAGAAGTGGCGCAAACTTCGTGCCTTAGAACGTGAGAATCGACAGCTGCGGGAGCCCTTGGAAAGATGGGTGATGGGCAATTTAGCATGACATGGATGTTAAATGATGTTAATGGGACTTTAATGGATGTTACTGGGATGTTAATGAATATCAATCGGATTCTAATGGGATTGGAATGAAATGATTTGGTTTGGGAGTCTGGCAGATGTTTGATCAGGGTTTTCATAGTTTTAACTTCTTATCTCCCGCAAGTCGCTACCCGCTACCAGCCGGACCAGTCGTCAAAGCTTTCCATCCGGACTGAGATTCCTTGACCTCCTGCAAAGCCTAAGAAAGGTCCTTCCAATTTGGTATCCCAAGCAACATCAAACAAGCGTAAAGAACGAATGCAAAGACTGTAGGTGCATACAATGGCATTCGAGATCCCATTTACGGAAATACATAGACTATATATGTATATATAATAATGATATATGGTTTGCAGGTACAATATAGCAACCACTCCCGAAAAAAAAACAAAAACAAATAGACATGTACATAGTACATAGTACATAGTAACATAGTACATAGTAACATAGTACATTCCTATTATTTCCTATTAAAAGTGGTACATTGAAGCTTTTTGAATCTTTTTGATGTACTTTTGGGGTTAAACTTATCCCAGGTCCCAGATCAGTGCGTCCCTCAGGAGAAACAGCTGCAGCTGCAAAGTGCCGAAGGTGACCTCAGAAGTTTGGGAAGCCCCAGCCCGAAGCGTTGTGGCCATGTGGAAAATCCGAAGAGATAGCCAGGATAGGTATACGGTATAATATATTATCATATGGTATAGTATCTGGTTGGTGGTCTGGAACATTTTTATTATATATATATATTGGTAATGATAATCCCAACTGACTAATATCTTTCAAGATGGTTAACACCACCAACCAGGTATGATATGATAATATATGAACCTATATGATAATATATGGTAATAATACATGATAGATGATATGAGCACATTTGATATGATAATAGTTATATGATATAATATAATATGATTTAGTCATATCCCCATGACACGTTTGGTCATAACCGCTATATATATGATGATCAATGTATTCAGATAGATATGATGATATTCCCATTAAATCATCCTATGATCTCCCTATAGCCTCCTGTCATCTATGGCGCCATAAAGCTGGGACATCCCCGAAGCTGGGGGACTTTCCAGCCATGAGTAGCGGGAAGCATCAAGATATGGGACATAACAGGAATATAGATGGATGCAGTTGGACCATAACTATGAAAACTGGTGGATCAATTATAACGTATCCAGATCAATGAGATGTCATGAGATGTGACCGGTGACCTGAATTGATTCAGATAGAGGATGTCATGAGACGAGTTGAATCAACTGACAGTGAGTTCCTTGCCAAAAAGATGAAGAGCCAGAGGTTCTCAAACATGGTTATACATTTGTCACCATTCTACAAACATTACTATCATTGTTGAATCCTTTTTGGATTGACATAGGTTTCATTTTTTCCCGCATGGTCTTGGAAGGCCAAAAACAATTTGCTGGTGATGGTCTCCCAAAGGTTAAACATAGGAGATCCCCAGCGTCCAGCTATTGATCCTCATTCCATCCCTATCAAACTGCATATTTTGGAGGGGAGACTTTACTGGTGTACCCATTTCCAGACATACCCATGCATATTCCTTTCATGTCCTTTCCGTTCCGTTAAGATTGAGGTTTCGTACCCTCAAACATCAAACAACTCAAACATCAAAAGTGGAATGACACCAAAATGAAAAACTGAGAGTGATTTGGTTTAGAACCATTTATTGATTATTTTCAACCAATTTTCAGAATTTCAAACTGTGCAATCTCCGAGGTCTCCGAGGAGAATTGCAGGACGCCTTGGCAAAGGGTTTGGGGGCCTCAAGTGGTGCAGTGGAGCCCTTGGAGCCCTCCCTTTGTCTAAGATAGTGATCAATTGAGTATCGTGTATTTTTTCTTTGGGGGTTACATAATTATATATATAATATATAACATGATATATATAATTAATCATAATTATATATAATATATACCATGATATAGATATAATATAATAATACATATGTATATATGCACAGTAGAGTACATAAATACGTACATATGTGTATGTGTATATATATATGTATACACAATTATATACATATTCGTACACAGACATAATATTGGCATTATATTGGCTAACCGAATAGTAGATCATTCCGTAGCTGCTTGGATGATGAAAATAATTGTTGCGGTTGATACGACTGGGTACACTGGAAAAGAACGCGACGCAGATCCCACAAAGCACTGTTGTTGCCATGATGTGGTTGATTTTTTCGAGAATACTATTTTATGATCCAGGCTAGACTTATTTGCACATACGTTTGCAGTGACCGTGGTTGAGTTTCACATTTCACTTCATTCTGGACCAAAACACCCTTAACTTATCCTCCAGTACTGACATCCCAGAAGTAATCTGAGTTTTTTGACCTGAGCAAAGCTGCATTAGTTTGTCAACCAAAATGATTCGAACCCGTTGCCATGGCTCAGAATAGTGCTTCATGCCACATCAGACGCAGATTTACGCGACAGTCCATAATAATTTCTTAGGTATTGCATATCGACCATGGGTGGAACGCTCTGGATGTCAGTTTCGGATGAATTATGTTTCTGACCTTCGACATTGGCTTCACTATGTCATCCTTCATGTGGTTGTTGTTCTGTGCTTTTGTAGTGTGAGCCATTTATAAGTGAACCGTTCTTATCTACGAGGTCAGGAATTTGAAATAGGAAGCCTCTCGAACCTCGATATGCTTCACAAATCCATGGCAATCTGGACTTATATTGTCAATGTTGAGACCCACCAGAGGAAGAGGCTTATGGCAGGTCTGAAAGAAAGTAGTACTGTACCCCAAAAGCCAAAGGTTGACCATCACTTTTCCCTTCGAACAACCATTTTCTGCGTATAAGCCATTTTCAGACCCAAATTGGATATAGTTGGTTATGGATGTTATGGTTGGTTATGTACCCCATTGTATCCCAACCAACTATAATTTCCATATTACGAACTGGAAATTAATCCCAAAATCCCATCAAACACACTAATAATCAATATCTAATCAAAACAGCATTAAGCCATCGTTTTGAAGGTAAATCATCAATTTCACTTCGCCTCCTGGTGTGAAAGAAAGCCTGGTTCGCCTCGAATCATGAAGCTTGGGCAAAAGCTATGGCACATGCTACCCAGCCTCTTGTCACGACCAAAGAAATGGTAAACGTAGGGAGTTAACCATGAAACATAAGGATTTGAACATCAGACATTGGTATAAAAAAGCATGGAAAATGGCGATGTAAGCATCAAACATCAAGATTTAACATGATTTAAGCAATAAATAATGGAGATCAATGAGGCTATGGTACTGGATTAATTGGACGATTATATGTCTTTCACGTTAACGATGTTAAAAATGGGTTTGACCCAAAAATGGGCGGACGCTCCATGTCATAGCCTCTTTTTTTACGTGTCAAACATGGCACAACTGGGTTCACTTGAAGGATCCTACTTAGGAAGTGGTGCTTAGTAAATCCCCTAGGGTTATCCCAATCACTTATCCCATTTAATATGTTGTTTTTGAATCAGTGACCAATCAGCCCAGTTCCAACCACTAAGTGAGCTGATCCTCCAAGCTGGTTCCATGATGATTTGACATGATTTGACCATCGACCATGATTTACTCATTCTAGAGCCCCGCGCCGGTGAACTAGTTTGGTATACCCAACACAATTCCAAGCAAGTTGGCCGCGTTACTTAAACAGACAACAACCAATCGTTCTGGGGCCCCTCCTGCATGTTTTATGGGAATCATGATCAATTATTTCCCCATGCATTTTGATGCTTAAGCCAGTCAAAATTCCTTCCTAACGATGGTGAAATATGATATTTTGTTACAGTAAATCCCATCGTTGTTGCCTCATTGTTGTTTCAAAATACAGTTTGCCCGATTCTTGTATTGTTTAATACCCCAATGTTGTTGCTGCATCACCATGTTTGCTGGTTGGATCATAATTGTTGTCGGTTGAAATCACCATGTTTGCCGCTCAAAGATATCATGATTTTTTGCGGTTAAATCACAATTTCTGTTTCTCAAATCATCATTTTGGCTGGGTAAATCACAATTTCTGCCGCTGAAGTCTTCATCTCCCCGTGAATCGCCAGGTGGCTTACCTGAGCTACGACAGCAGCTTTCGCGTCATCCCTGGCGCCTGGACGTCGAGAATCGACAGGCCTCAGTTGATGGGTTATTATTTGTTATGGGTTATCATAATCCATCAACTATAAGCCATTATGGGTTATTATTGTAACTATGGCTATAGTATTTCTAGTTGCAATAACTATAATGGGTTGTCACCAAATTGGTCATGGGAATATTACGAAATCATAACGGATTATGAACTATATAGTAGGAAATGCAGAAGTCATGGTAGTTTAATATAGTTTAAAAACGGTTATCAACTAGCGGGGTTATAACCTACCTGATGTCATGGCGGTTATGAACTGACCCTGATCTACGGTGTTCGCGTGTTCAACCAGCAAGTATTGCAGATGGGAAAACGTTGGTTTTTTATCATGGCTCAGTCATCTTTGTTGGTTTATAAACCCATGAAATCCCATGAACTAGTTTGATAGTGTCCACAATAAAGTTGAGGTGTAACATGTTGTAAGCCAGCTTAGCTATCAGTTCTCCCAAGCCAATGGGGAAAAAACTGTACAGATTGGATTCAAACCACAAGAATCCCATGCTGGTTTTACCATCTCCGGTGTCCTCAAAATCATCGAACTATAGCTGGGGTGTTTTCCAGCCACGAATACCGGAGGGTACACAAGCTCACAAGCTACATTGGAATCAAATCACAAGTTTCATGGTGATACATAATTCATATGAATACATCATTCATATGGTCACCATCTGAAGGCTTGGTTTAGACCTGCCTTGTCTAACTGGAGTGTAACTGGAGGTCAACCCTGACTTGTCAGGCTCTAGAAGCACGCTTGGGCATGACAACAGCTGGAATCTTAGCCCTGGGGCTGCCGTCCCAAAACATCCCAAAACAACGAAAAACAAGTTCTGGTGAGGGATGATTGAGACCTCGACCTATGCAATGTCAACCAATATTGGATCATTTTGGCTCTCTTGATGTGAGCTATACTACTGTGTGGCGAGTTTGGTGGATCCTGCTAATAGCTTTTCATAAAGCTTAGCAAGTATCATATGACAATATATATATGTACATATATGACATATGACAAGATTGATCTGTAAACCCTGAAGTTTGTGAGTTACGCAAGTCATTTGAAAGACGATATGTGGCCTATTATACACACTGCAGTGTTGCTTTTTCCATCTTCAGAGTCCACAGATTCATGGATTGTTGCGTTGGGCAGTTCTCTCTTTTTTTCTTTGTTATTTGAATAAGTGGCTGGACATGATAAACCTTACCGGTATGTCAAACGTTACTGTCTCATAAGGAGACAGATTGTTTCTCTGACTTGCTATCCTTACCATCACCCAACTAACAACTCAACTCTGATAGTATCCTTTGACTGCAAAGTAGTCTTCCAACCAACAACTCAGGGAAGGGTCTAGGATCATTGTATACAATCCAGCATATGATATCATCTTTTATATCCCGTTTTGTTGGCATAAGTCCATCTAATCCAGTTGACCAACCTTTAAAATGCATTAACATGAGATATGCTTAACATATTTAAACATTATTTATATGACGATTTTCCATTCAAATCCATATGCACCATTGTCCAAAGTTGGATGGTCTACCATTGTATACCTATATGGGGGGATGGTCATCAATCTATTTATATACATATATACACACACCCAATGTAAGTATTCTTATTCATATCACCTACACCATGCTTTGACCCTAGCACACATCAACCAGCCATTTTCCATGGTAAATAGCCTAAATTGCTGGTTCCCATGTGGTTCCCATGTCGCAATCAGCAAGGCGCAGCTCCTGCCGTTCCTTTCCTCACGACTTGGAGACGGTGCTGTGGCAGTGGGATTGGCGCCCAGCGGCAAGGTCTTCTTAGGCGGGAGATTCATGGCAGCGGTGCCCGTTGGGATCAATCCATCGATCCAAGTCGCCATAAAGATAGCTTTTTGAGCATATGATTTTGGTATATTTTGGTGGTACTTTACCGATTTGAATAAGTACTTGGAGGGTCTAGGTAGTTCGATATGTGTATATATATATAAATACATATTTATTATAAATATATCCACAAATCCAAATTAGTTCAACCGTAGCTACTCCGGCACGTCAAAGTCTCGGGGGGTTTAGGCCATGTTTGGCCTAAGTCTAAGTACGATTAAGTAACCCATTCCCTGTCTTGGCTTGATTTTTTCCAAGTTTGTCGACTGAAATCCCACTCTGAATCCATTTAGTTTGTTTGACACACGACACCAATTCCGATCATGCTTCTCCCAACCGTTTTTCTAAGATTTTGTTGCTTGATTCCATCATCGTTCATCAAAACTCCACCTGTTTGATGTGATTTCCAGGCCCAAAACTTCAACTGCCGGGCCGACAGTTGGAAGCCACACAAACCTTGCTGGCGCAGATGTTTGCTGCTGGCGAGGCCAGCTTCGGGCATCGACCGGGCAGAACCGGGTGGGCGGGAACTGGAACCTACAAAAATTCCTAAAATGGTCGAGATTTGGGGGAGATTTCCCGGAAGATCCCGGAAGTTTGCCAAGGGAAAAGGAGAAGGAGAACGCCTGGATTTGGGCTGCAGAGATGGAGATTTCACTCACATGTAACAGTAAAATACAGTAAACATGTGCGGGTGAAGCTTCAAGAGGGATTGAGGCAACACAAGAGTTGGGTTTGAACTACAAAAAGTGGTGGACTGGTTTGGTTTTGGCTCGAACTTGACACAAAAAATATGGTTCAAGACAAGCATAGCAAAATTGGGTTCTGCAGTGTCGGGATTGTTTTTTTTTAAAGCCGCGCATGATTTGTCACAAAGCTAATTGGACTAAAGATCATTCGGACTGTCCGGCACACCTTCAGTATGCTCTTCAACGTTTTCGGTCTCACTCATGGCGTATACCGTTTTACCTATCTGTTGGCTAGATCATGACATTGAACACCAAGATGTAGATCTGGTCCTTTTATTGAGTTTGACCAATATTGTCTCATGATGTGGGATCCGCAACGCTAAAAGCCATCCCAAATTTATGTTTCATGAACTTGTGCACACCCCTACTTCCTTGGAATTGAATAGACCCCCTGCATCCCCCTGCTATTTTTGATCATATCGGATGGTGACTCTGGAAGTCAGTGAGTCACCTTGTTTTAATTTGGGGCAATCTGACAATTTCATGGGTGAATTCCATTGATTTATCATGGTTAAATCCCAAGAAAAATCATGGGGATTCATGGTCAATTCGCCCCAGTTGGAACGCTAACATCAATTTGGGGCGTCACCTGACTGGGGGTACCCTCCATGTTTTATCACATTGCCATGGTTTAGATGGCCCATTTATAGATGATTTACCAGCGGGTCCCCATATCATCACCTGTGTTGATGCTGAAAAACTCCATATCAATCCCATATAAATCCCAAAATAATCCCAAGATCATCTTCACATCCCCAAAAATCCATCAAATCCCATAGAATCCCATATAAATCCCATAGAATCCCCATAAATCCTATGTTTTCCAATCGTTTCTCCAGCGTTTCTCCGCTCTGAGAGGCCATGGACGCCTTCGTCTGCCGCAAGCCGCCCTTGGGCGCCTCGCGGAACCTGTTGCGACAGCTCTGGAACTTTCCGGACGTCCGGTGGATGGGAGGTGCCATGGCTGCCATGGGAGGGACAAACACAGCAAAAACCATGGGGATTTATATGGGGGATGACATGGGGATTCTATGGGATTTATATGATTTATGGAGATGATTCAGGGATTATTTTGGGATTCTATGGGATTTATATGAAGATTAAGCATCAACCTTGGTGATGATATGGGGATGTCCCTAAACGTACAACAAGCGATGGAAGTTACCATGAAGGTAATAGTTAAATCATCTATAAATGGGTCATATAAACAAAAACTATGTTAGTAGTTAGCAAAAAGGGAAGTTCGGTGAACATGGATCATTTGCAGATGCATACAAACGATGCTCAAATCCCAACTTGACTGAACATGGAGACGGAAATGGATCATGTTCTAAGGGATTGTTGTTTTCAGGCATCCAACTTTTCATTGAAGATGTAAGTGAAACGTATGTGCAACCAGATAAGTTTCATGGGCACAGACAATTCTCATAAACGTAACGGCTGGCCCAACATCTAACCCCACATTAATTCATTGATTGAAACAAACACCAGGTACAGACACACAGAAAGCATATCTGTATTGTTGTGCAGCCATATGAATATGTATATATTCATGAACCAATCAAACAATCTCTCTCCCTCTCTCTCTATATATATATATTATTGTAGAACCGTAACCGATTAGCATACATACACACACACATATATATATATGTATATACATGCTAATGCAGAGAGAGTTTTACCCTCACCAATTACAGCTCGCCCAACTCGGACAGGAGATGCCCATTCCATGGACAGCTTGCTGAGTGGCTGCAGCGGCGATCTTCGTCTCATTGATGTGATCGGAGCAGGCGAAGCCGTGATGATGGGGATTCCGACAGGAAAAAATTGGTGCATTTACTCCATACAGAGTGAAATCATGTGAAATCCCAGGGGACCCACATCCATGAGGTTGTAACATGTTGTAACATTTTCTGTCCATATCTGGTGTGAATTGGGACTTCATTGGGACTTCATTGTTTTTTTTTCCAGCCGAATAGGGTGCAGTAGGGGGCTACCATGGAAACAGCCAAGATCTGACTTGTTGGTTTCATTTGAAATACGAAGGAACACACGAATTGGGATGTATGATTTCAGCACCAAAGGATATTATAAATATATATATAATATAATGTATGATATATATACATATATATATATATCAATATAATATTATATATTATATATTGTATTATATTATATATATATATTGTATTATATTATATTATCTTATCTTATATTGTATTATATTACATTATAAGCTTATTGTGCTCGAACTACGATAGTAAGATGTAGTAAGTTGTCATGAAATGCACAGACTGGTGCTTCATCCATCTTCATCCCAGGAATGGTGGGATAGTTCACCCCAGTTCGAACTGAGCCAATACTACTTATCCTGGTTGTAACATGGTATGACTGGGATGAACTAATTCACGATGAACCTAGGACCTAGGATGAACCAAGTATCTTACACCGTAGCAATCCGGTCTTTGGCTCATGGAACCTGGAAGTTTGAGCAGATTAGCGATGGCTCCATGGGAAAAAGATCAGATATGATGGAACAATGTCTCCATAAGCCTGAGCAAGAAACATCAAAGCTCTTCGTCCATTTGCTTGTGACAAAAGGTACGCCTGACACAAGCAACTCCACCATCGCCAAATACATATAATATATATATACATACTGTATATATACATATCACACATGATTCACATGATCACACAGACAGCCTATGATTGATTCCCTAATCTTCCCAGCAACAAACATCAAGTTGTCCCATGCATTTGCGCATCTCTGCACCTATGCCATGGGTTGTGGCACCAGTGGAACGTCTGCCACCTACGTCGCCCATGCCGACCCGCTTGACCCTGTGGACGCGGTCGATGTCGATGACCTGCCGGCGGTCAATGTCGATGCGCCGCTGGCGGTCGATGTCCCTGGGAAGGCGGAAATGGCGCCCGCGGTCCAAGGCTGGCTGCTGGAAACATCGCCTGGAACCTGGGAGGCCACTGTGGGTGCTATTCTGATGGCCGTCTGGTGAGTGTTTCTGTTGTGACATTGGAAAGGATTCTTTTGGGCAATTGCCTGTGCTTTCTTCATGTTGTTTTTGTTTTTAGCAGGCAGTGCGTGGCGTTACCCAAGAACGAACATGCAAAACAATCACGTCACAAACGGGGCTATGAAATAATGCGTATAAACATCTATAAACCCTTGAACACTGGGTACGTATATTCCATGGGGGGTCCAGAACCCATTGTGAGCTGTGGATAATCATGGATAAAGCTCACCGATCATCCAAGTTGCGGTTTGGCAGTGTCGTTGTGAGGCACTGCCAGAAGATGTTGATGCGACACTGACCGAGGCGTATTACGGTGTCTTTGCGGTGACATGAGATAAGAGAAGAATGTTGACTCTGCATAGATTCCCCAAAGTTGGGCCCTGGAAAAATCTGGAGCTACCAAGGGCAAACCCTGGTTGGGTATTGACTGGAGAGTCGATCTAGTCTTCTGGGTAAACCCTTGGGTATTGAGGTTATTTGTTGTTGTTTCCGCTTGCCATACATGGGCGAATAACATAATCACCCGCTAAGAACCATGATATTTAGATATATTTAGTTGATTTTAGAAGTATAGTGATTTTTTTCGAGGCAAGATTGGCATGCGTTTTGGACGCCACCAAGGGGCCATTTCATTGGAGAGGAATGCTATGGAATGCTATGAAAAATAGCAGGATCCAAGATATCCAAAATGGGGTGCGGGATTTATCACACACCTGCAGGAATCGAGAAGAGTTGGATGTGCTCATGATTCCTCATGATTCCTAATGATTTCTAATGTATCTGTATCTTTGTGCATTTGATCCAATTTATACGGAACTTGTCCCAACCAAGGCCTCTTGGCTTTCCCTGGTATGATTTGTGATGAGTCGATTTCCAAGGGAGACATGTCAGCGATTTCCATCAACCATTGCTGTCCACTTTCATAGTCCCATCCCCAGTTCATCTTAAGCACCTCCATTGTATGGTCCAAAATATGCGGTTTCATCCCCTATGTAATCTTATAGGGAAGGGATTAAAATCCAACTTTGTTATCCATGTTTTGGGGGTGTTGAAGAATGAATCCTTTCACAAGTTCGAGAACAATTGTCAATGAGATTGACAGCAGTTAATTGCATATTTACATATATTTACCATCATTTACCATTATTTACCATACAGCGAACGTATTTTTAGTCATATTTGATCATATGTGTATCATCGCTATATCCTTGTCTTCTGGTGGTTTAAACCCATAAGCCAATAATCATCAACCAGCATGAAGATGGCCTGATAATTTAGGTGTGAAAACCGTTATCTTATGATACAATCATGATTTAAATCATTATATATTGTCTTTGATGGTTTGATTGATCATTTTAATGATGGATAAGAATAATATCAGCCTGTTTGATACTTTAAAGTCATTAAACATCCCAATTTTCAATGTATCATCTGTATAATCATAATATAGTTCAACAGCATCTTCAACATTTAACGGTCATCATCAACCAGCACCGCCTGAGGTGGTGAACCTGTTGCGCTCTACACGGTACGCGGCTCCAAGCCCAGCGAGGCGCGTTTTAGGTGATTTTTAGGTGATGTTTGCTGTTTTTTGGGTGATGTTTGGTGTTTTTGTACGGTGATTTAGGGTATTTTAAATGACTTGAGGTATGTTCAGATGATTCTAGGTCCTTTTATATAGATTATTTTGGGCATGTTGTTGGGAATTCTTTGATAGTTTTTGCTGGCTTTTAGATGACCCTTTGTGATTTACTTTTGTTTGGGAATTGTTTGTTCATTTTGTGGGAATGTTGTTGCTGATGTTTTGACCATTTTTGGTGATTTGTTTGTGACTTACACACATACAGCGTATATAAATATAAATATATATATATATACATAATAACATATATACGTATATATATATGATATTTATACATATGTATATATATATATATAGAGAGAGAGTCATTTTTCTGAGAATTCTTGGCGAGTTTTTAGTTATTGAACACTCTTGTCAATTTTCTGTGTGATTCGGGGGGATTTGGCGATGGTGATTTGCACGGTCACAAGTCACAAGCTAATCTTGGGTCAGCTACTGTATCCGGTGACTTATGTGGTAAACATGCTGCCTGGTCGTTTTTGCTAATTCGACGATCACTCCCTGGTAATCAAACATGGCAGTGGAAAATGCACATTTTCCCCCAAACAGTGTGGCCACACTGAGGGGTTTTTACGGTAAGTGTTAAGGCCCAGTGTTCAATCGAGGTGGTATCCGGGGCGTTTGGCATTTTCCCTGTAAATTTCCACACAACATGGCTCTTGTGAAATGTCCATGTGCATTTCGACTGCGCAGGCTCGCACCAAGTGTGCTTTCCCGGTCTTGGGGTCGGTCTTCTTCCTCAACATCATCATTTTCCTCCTCCTGCACATCAACATCATCATCATCATCATCATCATCACCATCACCATCATCGTCATCATCATCATCATCATCGTCATCATCATCATCATCATCACCATCACCACCATCGTCATCATCATCATCATCGTCATCATCACCATCATCATCGCCATAATCGCCATCATCATCAGCATCACCACCATCATTGCCATCGTCATCGTCATCATCATCATCATCATGCAAAATCCTCATCACCATCATCATCACCATCACCATCACCATCACCATCATCATCATCACCATCATCATCATCAGCTTTATCAGCACCATCATCGTCAGCATCGTCAGCATCGTCAGCATCGTCAGCATCGTCATCACCACCATCGTCATCATAATCATCATCGTCATCAACATCATCATCATCATCATCATCATCATCATCTTCATCAACGCCATCACCATCATCATCTCCATCATCGTCGTCATCATCATCATCATCATTATCATCATTGTCATCATCATCATCATCATCACCATCATCATCATCATCATCATCACCAACAACATCCCCATCATGATCAGCAACATCATTAACATTAACATCATCAACACCATTATACTACTACATTATCCTTTTACTCCCCCCCGCGCTGTTTGGGGTCTCTTGCCGGGACAATTTTTGATGTTCGTCGGTTTTCCCGTTATCATTACAACGATTAAAAACTTCCGTTTGTAGGGGATCTCCTGTGCCACAACAAATTGCCGGTGGGTATTTAAGGTTTCGGTAAGATCCAACACAAGCTCGCTGTACCGGTCCCCAGAGGAATGGCTGGGGGATGGGTTCAAACCAACCAACAATTATCGTTCATGACTTGCTCTAGGTTGTGGTGTTTGTAGCGGATGTGAACTGATGTGAACACAGTAATTATTATTTGATTTATTTTCTCAGCCAATGCCTAAACATATTTTTTTGTCCTTGGGTCCGCGCGCGCGCCCCTACTGTAAGTACCCCAACATTAGTTTGTTGAGGCATGCGCGCACCTGCGGATGCTGGGAGCAAACCCGTTGTATAGCATTAATCGAGAATTGAATATATGTTAAAATATATGTTAAATTTAGATGATTATTCGCTTCATGAATGCCATGCACTTGTTTTGGCAGGTTTTGGCCTGTAGCTTGGTAAACATACCACTGATGAATTGCGTGGGAACTTAAGTCCCAACTGTGTGTGGATAGTAAACCATTCAAAACAAAAGTATCTTGTGATTGATGGTTGAATCATGTCGAATCCTGGCTGCGTCAAGAATAGGTAAAGGCTCCATGTTTGGTCTCTAAATCCTCTGTGCTTGTAGACTATCTTGGGTGTGTA